AGAGCAGATAGTTATGGCTTTACTCAAGAAGCTCATATAGGAAGAAAGCAAAAGGTCATTAAGATGACAAGGAACATAGAAAAAAAGAGACTAACATGGATGTCAGAAGAGAATCTGAAACTTGCTCACCTGCATAGAGATGCTAAAACAAATGGAAGAAATGAGGAGGTAAAAGAGCTGAAAAGTTTCAAAGGGAAGCTAGAGAAGACAAAGTGAAATATTCCAATAAAATTTGCAAATACCTAGAGCTAGAAAACCAAAAGGGAACAACACACTCAGCATTTCTCAAAATGAAAGAACTGAGAAAAGATTCAAACTTTAACTTTCAGTACTGGGCAAAATATTGAATGATGTAGAAAATATCAAAAGAAGATGGAAGGAATACATAGTCACGGTACCAAAAAGATATGATCAGTGATCAACGATTTCAAGAGGTTGCCTGCTAGAATCAAGAGTCAGTGATACTGAAGAAAGAAGTCCAAGGAAAGCATTGAAAAAGAACAAGGCTCTGGGAATTGATGGAATACAAACTGATATCTTTCAACAAATGGATATAGCGCCGGAGGTACTCATTCATCTATGCCAAGTAATTTGGAAGACAGCTACTTAGCCAACTGACTGGAAGGGCTCCATGTTTGTGCCCATTCCAAAGAGAGGTAACCCAATGGAATACAGAAATCATATCCTTAATGTCATATTAAGTAAAATTTTCTTACAGTTATTAAAAAATGGCTGCAACAGTACATTTACATCGATTTGTGTCAGAGTTTCAAGCAATTTTCAGATGAAGTCGTGGAATTAAGGATATGATTGCTGCTATCAGATGGAACTTGACTTAAAGCAGAGAATATCAGTTATGTTTACCTATGTTTTATTGATTGTGCAAAGGCATTTAATTGTGTAGATCATGACAAACTATGTACAAAATTGTGGAGAGTGAGTATTCTGAAACACTTAATTGTGCTTATGACAAACTTGTATATTTATCAAGAGGCAGTTGTTCAAACAGAACAGGTAGCACTGAATGGTTTAAAATCAGGAAAGGTGTGCACCAGAGTTGTATTCTTTCGCCATATACTTATTCGATCTCTATGCTGAGCAACTAATTTGAGAAGCTGGATTATATGAAGAAGAGATTGACATAAGGATTGGGAGACTCATTAGCAACCTGCGATATGTAGATGATACAACTTTGCTTGCTGAATGTAAAAATGATTTAAAATTGTTACTGACCACTACCTTGATATGGGTTGTGCCTCAATAACGAAGCAAAATTCCTCACCACTGGACCAATAAAAAACATCAGGATAAATGGAGAAAAGATTGAAGTTGTCACAGACTTCATTTTGCTTAAATTCAGTGTAAACACTCATGGAAGCAGCAGTCAAAAAATCAATTAACATATTGCATTAGGCAAATCTTCTGTACAAAAATCTCTTTGAAGTGTTCCAGTGCAAAAATATCAGTTTGATGACTAAGGTGCATCTTGCCCAAGTCATGTTATTTTCAATAGCCTCATATGCATGTGAAATTTAGACAACCAATAAGGATGACAGTTGAAGAATGGATCCAGTCAAATTATGGTGTTAGAGAAGAAAATTAAAAGTACCATGGACTGCCAGAAGAACAAACAAATCTGTGTTGGAAGATGGAAGAGGTTCAACTAGAATGCTCCTTAGAAGCCAAGATGACCCGACTTCTCTCATACTTCAGAAATATTATCAGGAGGGACCAGTGCCTGGAGAAGGACATCATGCTTGGTAGGGAGGGTCAATGAAAAAGAGGGAGACCCCCAATGAGATCGATTGGCACAGTGACAGAGGATTGGGCTCAAGTGTAGCAGCAATTGTGAGGATAGTGCAGGACCAAGCAGGGTTTCATTCTCTTGTATATTGGGTCATTATGAGTTGGAACATAACAACAGCAATAGCATAGCAAAGCCTATGATGTCCAATTCAAACTTGCCAATAACAATTCATTTCAGGTCACCAGTTCCTAGCGTATCAATCTTTATGCATTCCATTTTATTTTTGGATGACTTCCAAGTTTCCCAGAGTCATGCTTCATACATTCCTATTATTTGTGATGTTTGCAGCTGTTTCTCCTCATTTTCAGTTTTGCCCCATCATTAAATGAAGGTCCCCAAAGCTTTGTTCCTTCCTCATCTTTTAGGTCAACTCTATTTTCAATAGGCAGCTCTTTCCATTCATGTTTTGAGTGCTTTCCAACATTAGGGCCTCATCTTCTGGAACTATGTTAGACAGCATTCCACTGCTATTCATAAGATTTTCAGTGGCTAATCTTCCTGATGTGTCCATCTCTCCTTCCTAGTCTGTCTTTATATGAAACAGCTCTCTGAAACCTGTCTACCATGTATTACCCTGTTGTCGTTGTTATGTGCCGTGGCATCAGTTCTGACTCATAGTGACCCTGTATAGGGTTTCTGAGGCTGTAAATCTTTACAGGAGCAGAGAGCCTCATCTTTCTCCCATGGAACAACTGGTAGTTTCGAACTGCTGACCATGAGATTAGCAGCCTGATTGGTAACCATTACCTTATTGCTGTTGTTAGGTGCCATTGAGTCGGTACCAACCCATAACAACCTTATGCACAGCAGAACGAAACACTGCCTGATCCTGGGCCAACCTCACTGCTGTTGCCATGCTTGAGTCCATCAGTGCTGCCACTTGACCATTCCATCTTGTTGGCGGTCTTCCTCTTTTTCTCTGACCCTCCACCTTATCAGACATGATACCCTTCTCCAGTGACTGGTCCCTCCTGACAATATGTCCAAAGTATGAGAGATAAAGTTTGGCCATGTTGGCCTCCCAGGAGCACTCTGGCTGCACTTCTTCGAAAATGGATCTATTGATTCTCTTGGTAACCCATGACACTTTCAATATTCTCCTCTAACACTGTAACTCAAAAGCATCAATTCTTCTACAGTCTACCTTATTCACTGTCCAGCTTTCAAATACATATGAATACCATGGCTTGGGTCAGGCACACCTTAGTCCTCAAGCTGACATCTTTGCTCTTCAACACTTGAAAAAGGTCTTGTGAAGCAGATTTGCCCAAATGCAATATGTTGTTTGATTTCTTGACTGCTTCTTTCTTGAGTGTTGATAGTTGATCCAAGAAGAATGAAGCCTTTGACAACTTCAATCTTTTCTCTGTTGATAAGAATGTTGTTTATTGGTCCAGTGGTGAGGATTTTTGTTTTCTTCACATTGAGATGTAATCCATACTGAAGGCTGTGCTCTTTGATCTTCAATAGTATTTTAAGTTCTCTTCACTGTAAGCAAGCAAGCTTGTAGCATCCTCATTAACAGGTTGTTAATGAGTCTTCGTCCAATCCTGATGCCATGTTTTTCTTCATAGAACCCAGCTTCTCAGATTATTTACTCAGCATACAGGTTGAATAAGTATGGTGAAAGAATACAACCTTGTCATACACCTTTCTTAATATTAAACCATTCAGTGTCCCCATGTTCTGTTTGAACAACTGCCTCTTGGTCCAGGTACAGATTCCTCATGAACACAATTAACTGTTCTGGAATACTCATACTTCTCAATGTTGTCTATAGCTTGTTATGATCCACACAATCAAAAGCCTTTGTGTAGTCAATAAAGCACAAGTAAACACCTTTCTGATAGTCTCTGCTTTCAGCCAAGATCCATTGAACATCTGCAATGATAACCCTCATTCCATGGCCTCTTCTGAATCCGGTTTGAACCTCTGGTAGTTCTCTGTCAATGTATGCTTACAGCCATTTCTGTATTACCTTTAGTAAAACTTTATTGGCATGGGATATCAAAGAGATTGTCCAATGATTTCCACATTCCTTTGAGTCACCTCTCTTTGGAATGGGCCCAAATCCAATCAGTCGGCCAGATAGTTGTCTCCCAAATTTCTTGGCAGAGATGAGTGAGTGCCTCCTGTGCCGCCTTGCTTTCTTGAAAGATCTCAATTTTTATTCCATCAATTCCTGGTGCCTTGTTCTTTGCAAATTTCTTCAATGCACCTTGGATTTCTTCCTTCAGTATTGTTGGATTTTCATCATATGCTACCTCTTGAAATGGTTGAACATCAACCATATCCTTTTGGTACAGTGGCTCTGTGTATTCCTTCCATCTTCTCTTGATGCTTTCTGCATCATTCAATAATTTATACAGAGAATCCTACTTAAAATACTGGTGACACAGCTTTCAGCATCACATGAACACATAAACCATCACAGCCCCACAAAACTAACAGACTAGTGGTAGGTGGATGGGCTAGGGGTGAGTAAGGTATATTTGCCAAAAAAATTATATCTTTGTTTCTTGCTTACATAATCTGTACATGCTACCATTTACAGATATGGAGAACATTAAAAATCAAATGTTGTAGTAGATGGGGCACATTTTGAGCATGGGATATGTGTGGATGCCCACCAGAAGTTTCTCGATATTCAGTGAGGTCTTGAGCTTCTCTGAGGGGTCTAGACTAGAGCTACTACACTAGACTTGGTAATTGTCACTGGAATCATTGGAGTAGACAAGAAGACCCAAATATTATGTGCAGAATAAGAAGAGAAGAGACACTTTAACCCAGGCATAAACCAGTATTTTGACTATGAAAAGAAAAACAAACATAAAACACAAAGCATATATTTATCCTGTTTCAGAAATGTCGACAAGTAGCAATGCCCTTAGGTACTGTTGCACACATACCTATTCATGTATACACCACTTGACCTCTAGAGATTGTAATGAGTATCAGCAATACGCTATATAGTGGACAGCATGAAACAGTAAGCATCTAAGGTAATAGTCCCTCTCCTGAATAATTCATGTAAGATGTAGTCATCCAACAGCAAATACCAGGGCTGAGGACACTGATCAGTATGTTCAAAGAAGTGGAAATTTGCAGCCCATATGCATATTACAACTAAAGTAGCAAAACAGAAAGCACTGATGTTTTTTCATCCCCACCCTACCCCTTGTTTTTGTCTTAGATACGTATGGAAAGCTTTTTCTCCTCAATTCTGTGGGCCAGGAGATGTCCCGCTGCAAGACGTCCATTCGACGTGCTCAACCCAATCCTGTTTATAAGGAAACCTTTGTTTTCCAGGTCGCCCTCTTTCAGCTCTCTGATGTTACATTGATGATTTCAGTTTATAATAGACGTACTATGAAGCGTAAAGAGATGATTGGTTGGATTGCTCTGGGCCAAAATAGCAGTGGAGAGGAAGAACAAGACCACTGGGAAGAAATGAAAGAAACCAAAGGCCAGCAAATCTGCAGATGGCATACCTTGCTTGAATCCTAGTTTTGCAACATATATTTGTATACTGTGTCTTCCTTGGTCACCAGTGTTGCCAGATCCTGATACCAAGTCAGCACATCTTGGCATGGTTTTTAAAGATGGGCTTTCAAGTAGAAATTCTACTGACCCTTAGGAATACTAGATAGGGTGCGCTTGGGTTTCTCAGAGCTTTGATTTGGATTTAAATACTGTTTTCTTTTATTTTTTTAAAAAATTACATATCCAGTCAAGTGTACTATATGGAAAATGTTACCATATTCAAGACTAGTGAGGATGAGTTAATTTGTCCTAAGTTATTGTGTTTTAGTTTTGAGTGACCCAAGATTGCAAATGAACTGTTAAATGTTATAAAACCCAACTTTCATAATAAGAGATAAAAATCAAATTACATAAATGAATAAGACTCTGAGGTTGATAGTAGAATGCAACTACAACTATCATCCATGAGCACGTCTAGTTAATATGTTTCTTTTTATCAAAAATTCTCATTTAGTAAATGTTATAAATTTGCATTTATACAACAGATTTGTATGAAATATGTCTTCTATTTCATTTCTGTATTGCAATTTCCTGGTGTGACACACTGCAAACCATGGTTGGAGGTTCAAACCCACCAGCTGTTCCTTGGAAACCCTATACAGGGTCACTATGAGTCAAAAGCGACTCCACGGCACTTAGCTAAAAGAGACTTCAGAAAACACTGTCGTAAAATGACATTTCTCCTTTTGGATATATAAAATTTCAAACTTGTAACCTCCATAGTTTATGGGCTTTCTCACCTAATGAATGCTTGCTGTATGAGAAAAACAGCTCATTGATTTGTTGATTTTTCTCTTTGTGGATTATGTTTTCTATATTCAATTATACATACTCACACATCTATTTTGAATGTACTTTTTTGCATGTAAACCAGATTCTTTTTATGCAATATTTTCAATCATGAGAGCTTAGTAAATTATACACAATGGATCCTTAATAAATATATATATATATTTTTGATTTGCTAGTAGAAATGAACATGTTACAACACCCATGAATAAAGAAATATTTTCAGGTGTTATGAAATGAAATGAAATTTGTCTTTGCGCATTTGAAGTGCCTATACCTGTCATTTTTTTCCATGGCATTTGCAGCAACAGATACTAGTCATCACTTACACTCTGGGCATGTGCCAATCTGAACACTGATCTTGTATGGTTGTTAGCATGGGCTTGACTTATGAGTGACTCTTGCATATTTATGCAGTGCATGTTTGTTTTTTCTTCATGCTTACATTTGAGCCCTTTATTTCAATTACTTTAAATTGGCAGAATAAGAAATGAGAAGGATTACGTGTGTATTTGACATTGTGCCCAATGTACAGCTCTTGTGAGCAATTGCTCAGTCATTTATTTTTAGCTTGTATGTTTCATTGTTGACTTTTTCCTGTCCGTGGGAAGAGTGATAGCTAGTGATAGATGTATACAGTTAAAAACATATAACTCCGCCTCGGCTCCACATTTTGACAGATTGTAAGCGTAGGCTGTGACACTTGAAAAGCATATTTATTCCTTACAGAATGTGATGGTTATCCTGAGAAGACCGGACTAGGACACTGGCTAACTCTACTATGATTTCAGGCTTTAGCTTATGAAAGATGTCATTTTTCTATGAAAGAAGAAGAATTCTCACATAAATTAATATTTTAATTTCCTTTCAGGCCATAGCGGTATCATATGTAATGCTGGTCAGTTTTTGACAATAAGTAATAAAGCCTTTGGGTTTTAACCCTCCCTTACTTTGGAAGGCCTTAAAGCGCTTTTCCAACATTACACCCTTTAACTGCTGAGTGGTCTTTGCAGCATGGTTGTGACCACACAGTGAAACTGGGTGCAATTGATTAAGTAGTGGCACAGAGAATTGGCTTTTCAGATCCCTTACTCTCTTTATGCCCTTGTGTTCTAAGGGAAGTGAAGCAGCCTCATTTTGCTTTCCTTTATACAGTAACATAAAAGCAGCATTCACTTTAAAATTTACATTTGAAAAAAATCTGCATAGATTGTACAAACAGCCCTAGATTTTCTCCCCCACCCCATATTTTCCTGCTCAGCATTTTGCTGCAGCCCTTGTTTCATGCTGTCCAATGATCACCTATGCTTCATTTTCTGATGCCTTGACCCACCCCTTCTTAAGGATTTTTGCTGGTGAAGTGGCGATATCTTTGTATATTTCCCGATAGTCTGTCTATGATGGAGTTTACAGGAACATGCCTCAGTTTAGGGGAAGGATTGCCTGTGAAGCATCTTTTGCTGTTTATAGTTTGACCACTGTCTGCTCTGGTACTTCTTTACCCTGTAGAATGCATCATTACATCTGAATATGTAGCAGTGTTCGCCATAAAGCTGATTGTGTCAATGGAAAATACTGTTTACAAGATGCATTCAAACGTGGAGCTGAATTTATTTATTTATTTTTAATGTTGATTTGAAATTCTAGCAAGATCTTTTGATTTTGTGCACTTAAACTCTCATTATTTTCTTTGCAAAGTCTAGACACAAATACATTTAACATGTTTTTCACTCAAGCTTTTGCATCTACATTTGCTTCTCAAAAGAGTTATGAAAGAGAATTAGTTGGCTCTGCAGTGAAAAGGCTCCTTTTGCCTGTTTTGTCTAGCTAATGATGAATATCTCATAGGGACATTTGAAATTGAAGAAGCATTGATTTTTGTTACATGAGTAGTTCTTTCACTTTCAGTGGTTTTTGTTTTTTGTTTTTTTCTTTTTCTGAAGAGCATGCTTTTTAAATACTACTGTTGAAGGCAAGTGATGCACTCGGTCTGTGGAAATTTGCTTTGTAGTGTGCCTTCTGCAGGTCATGAGTCTCCTCTGATGTGGGAAGTGCTGTTTCAACCGGTCACCGTGGTGGTGGTGGTGGTGTTCCTTGTTCCTCTCTGACCATTGTTGGATTTTTAACTGGATCATTTACCAGGGAGCCAAGCACATGCTCTCATGCCCCCTGCCCTTCACTGGCTCCAGTGTGACCCACAGTTGATTTGGACCCTGTTTTTTTCTCATGGTGTCTGAGGAGGTCCTGACTTCTCTAATAGAAGACTTTGTTATTCCTTTGGCTGTATTATACTCAGGCTTTCCACATGAGCAGATGTTTAACAGAGAATCATGACTATTATAGAAAGGGAAACAGAAAGTATAGTATTACATTCTCATTCGTTTTTTCCATTTCCCATAGAATTGATTTCAACTCATGTTGACCTCTTGTGTGTTAGAGTAGCACTGTGCTCCTGAAGGTTTTCAACAGCTGATTTCCCAGAAGTAGATCACCAGACCTTTATTCTGAGGTACGTCTGGTTGAACAGGAACCTCCAATCTTTGGTTAGCGTCTGTGTTTGCCACCCAATGGCCATCATTCACTTTAGGCACTGTTAACTCCGATTCTCTTTCATTGAAAGTTAAGTGGTGGAGATTTCAGACATTGAACTCTCTGAAGTGCTAGGTGCTACAGAGAGCCTTGAACACAGCCTCTGCTTTTACAACAAGATACTAGATCTCCTAGTATCTTGCAAATTGTGGTTACCTCTTGATCCATCGCTGTGCTTACCATCCTGGGTTCACAAGCTGTCATATCTGAGAATAAGAGCAAGAACTCATGTTTATCTTTGAAAGTAAAGTATTATTTCAGTTGATACTACCATCAAACTATGTGAAAATACTTCCCTGATAGGCATTAAACTTAGTGGATGATCCAGTGTGGACATTAAACTGTGGGTTTCCCCAAAGTCAACCTACCCTTTTGCAGCAAAAGATTCAGTATAGTAAGACCGGAAAAGGGAGAAGGAAAGGATTATTTGTAAATGGGATATAAACAAATGGAAGCATATTCTTTAACGATAAAGAAACAGAATTAGATAGCACATGCTTTAAGGAAACAGTTTCTTTTATTTGACCCAAGACAGAAAGGTTAAGGATAATAACCCTACATGGGCATATGATTTTAATAGGTAATTTAAATTTTAATAGATTTAATCATTAAAGTCCATAGTTTATATTAGGGTTCATTCTTTATGTTTTGTAGTTCTGTTTGTTTTGACAAATGTATATCATATATCCACCATTCCAGTATTACAAAGAATAGTTTCACTGCCCAAACAATGCCCTGTGTTCACCTATGTATCCCTCAAAATGTACTTTTATTTTCATAAAATAAAATCACTTGAGTTTGTTCCAAAGAAAATTCTAAGCAAAAATAATCAAACAAAATAGAGGACAACAAAAAGCTGTAAAGTATGTATATGGAAGGATTAAAGAATAAACAAATATACTGGATACCTTCAGTAGCCATTGGCATACAATCAAGAAGAGTAATGGACCAAAAGGCATCACAAGTTGACTACCTATCATTTTGGCAACTTGTGGAATTCTGGCAAATAATTAAATATGGGAGGAAATGGAATTGGCCTGGCATGACTCAGTGAAGTTGTATAAGCTATAGTTTTAGTTTGAGTCTGAACAGAACTCTGCTTACTGTGTGGCCTTATCAAAAAGATTTTATTAGTCTCTTTAAATGGAAAGTAGAGATATTCCTACCTCATAAGAATTTTTAAAAAGAGATTAATGAAATAGATACAGTGTGCCCAGCACAGTGCCCAACATTTAGCCAACACTCAACAATTCTTCCTCAGCAAAAAGCAAAATAAAAACATTTACGTTCTTTTTCTCTCTTTCAATTAAAGTAATACTAACAACACTAAAGAAAAACGTAGAAAGACTTTTCAGGTATTTTTGAAAAGCTGGCTTCATGAAATCAGCCTAGATTTGTAGGGAAGATAGAGGTCTTAGAATAGCCTAATCAGACCTATGGCTGCTATGTGGAAGTAATTGAATTTTAATAAATCCCAAGTAATTTATTAAATTGAGATTTGTTTCAGTTCGCCTTAGACACATCATTTTCTTAGTTTAGAAGACATACAAAACCTTGGCTCTTATGCACACATTTTGATAAATGATACCCAAGGCCTCTCATTACCTTTTTCTTGTCATTTGTCTCTTGTCCTTTTCTCAGCTCTATTATTTATACATGGACAGGACACCTTGTTG